GGCAACGGGCGCGGGGGCCCTGGTGGCCACTGGCACCGTCGTGGTGGCCACTGGCATGGGCACTGTCACTGTGACCTTGGTGGCCACTGCCGTGGTCGTGGTGGCCACTGGCATTGTCATGGTGGCCTTGGCCATGGCCGTGGTCATGGTGGCCATCAACACAGTCATGGTGGCCATCAACACGGTCGTGGTGGCCATTGACATGGTCATGGTGGTCATGGTGGCCACTGTCATGGTCACGGTGGCCACTGGCATCATCATGATGACCTTGGTGGCCACTGCCGTGGTCGTGGTGGCCGTTGGCATCGTCATGGTGGCCTTGGCCATGGGCGTGGTTGTGGTGGCCATCGACACGGTCATGGTGGCCATTGACATGGTCATGGTGGCCGTTGGCATGGTCATGGTGGCCTTGGCCATGGCCGTGGTCATGGTGGCCACTGACATGCTCCTGGTGGCCACTGACATGCTCCTGGTGGCCACTGTCACGCTGGCCTTGGCCATGGTCATGTTGGCCACTGCCCTGGTCATGGTGGCCCCTGGCCTGGTCACTGTGGCCTCGGCCGTGGCCGTGGTGGCCGTGGGGGTTGTCCTTGGCCGTGGTGGCCACCACTGCCCCCGGCACAGTGGCCTTGCTGGCCCTGGGTGGGGGGTGGCCAATGGGGTGGCCACGGTGGCCACGGCCAAGGTCATGGTCAAGGTCACGGTCGAGGTCACGGCCGAGGTCATGGTCAAGGTCATGGTCGAGGTCATGGTCGAGGTCACGGCCGAGGTCATGGTCGAGGTCATGGTCGAGGTCACGGCCGAGGTCACAGTGAAGGTCACGGCCGAGGTCACGGTCGAGGTCACGGTCGAGGTCACAGTGAAGGTCACAGTCGAGGTCATGGTCGAGGTCACGGCCGAGGTCACGGCCGAGGTCACGGCCGAGGTCACGGTCGAGGTCACGGTGAAGGTCACAGTGAAGGTCATGGCCTCGGTCCCGGTGGCCTCGGTCCCTGTCCCGGTGCCAACGGTGACGTTTTGGGCCCCAAACCCGCGGATTTGGGGGTTCCCAGTTTTTGGGGGCCCCTCCCATGACGTCACAACCCG